AGATGTCTGCGGCTTATCGTGGAACACACAAAGATGCCAACACATATGTTTGACTCTCTGTAGTTAATACAATTTAACCAAGAAGGCTGAACAGTTGTGGCCGCAAGCTGTCTAATTGAAATCCTATTTAAGTGTTGCTTCTTAATGTCACCCACCATCGAAACAAAACCAAGAGAGGAAGGGACGGGGAGGTGGTGGGAGAGAGTCTCTCCGTGCATATTTCTTTAAATCAATTTTTCATCCCACCCCCGCCCCTCCTTCCCTTTGCCTCAGAGTAATTTATATATAATATCCTAGAAATACAAAGCAGGAGTTAATATAAGTGTTCTCACTGTGATGTGATTATTCATTTTGTTGTGTGCTCTTTATTATTATTATTTTTTTTCCTTTTTTAAACTGAAATGGCTGAAAGGAAACATGACGCTGCAAGGGTGGTGGGGGGGTCATGCGGCTTCGCACCAGGAGGCTTCCCGGCACCAGCTAATGAGCGCCTTGAACAATATTTGCCTAAACAAATTGAGTTAACTCGCATTTTAATTCCATTTGGCTTTTGACTGAGTTATCGCTGGGTCTTTGTCCTGCTGCAAGTAAACAAACAAAACAGGGGCATGACCCCCCGCCCCCAAAAAGCAACTTTAGTGTTTTGTGAACTGCAAAAGAGTTCAGTGATTACTGCGCAATGAATGTCAATAAATTGTAGCCAGTGGAAATACTCCCTGGCTGCACTCAAACAGTGTATGTCACTGTGACAAAGTGGTTAAGTTTGTATTTATTTATTACTTGTCCCTTTCAAATTAATTTAGTGTTTTTATAGTTGGTCATAATGCCGTAGTTTAAGCATCGCTGTTAGCTTAGCTTCAATTGCTAGCCTGAGTTTGTTTGTTCGTTAGCATTACGGTGCAGTTTACATACATGATGGATCTGTTTTTTAAAGCTAACACTACTAAACCATTAGATAAATATTAATTATTCTTCGGTTATAAGGTAAATCACTTCTGTTTATATCTTTTATACTCACCATCGTTTGTCCCTTTAGATTCTACACTCAAAAAGATGAACTTCGGGGGTTATTACATTAACAAAAGACTATCATGTACTTTTGACACAATAATTTCATGTTTCAAACTAAAACGTGATAAAATCATGTTGGATAAACAAGAATTTCAACAACTTAACTCAACTGCGGCAGTTATGAGAAGACTAAATTTTCCTGGCAGCATATATGCACAATGTTGCTATGTTTGGTCACGTTTCTATGTAATTTCTATGAAGTCAGTGGCTATCATGTGCTAACAGCGTTTCTCTATCATTTGTACCATTTTCTGTTTGTTCCATGCTTGTGAAAAAAAAAAAAATTGAGGTGGTCATTGCATTTACAAAAAAAAAAAATAATTTTATGTTTCAAAGGCAAACGTGATAAAAATCTTGTCAGTCAAATTCAACAACGTACCGTTAATAAAATGTATTAAAGTTGAGATAACGTGATTCAATATAGTCAGACTGACTCCCGCCGAAGAGGGTCTAGCGAGATCAGGAGATCACGCGAGATTCTAGCGAAATTACAGAAGATCACGCGACACAACTGTTTTGCGCCTGGGAAAACTTCAAGGGCGGTTTTTCTAGAGAAGCGGGGAGATTCTTGCCGTGCATCTAGTTAATTTAAAAAAGGTAAGATTGTATACAGAAACTATTCTTGAGATAAGTATGTGTAACCCCTCAGCTTATATATATATATATATATATATATATATATA